AGTTATTTATTTCTACCAATATTCTTCTTTATGCCTGCTATAGTAGAAAATAAATAAATATCTTCCGTCTTTTTGGTGGATGATCAACAAGTTTGGTAAACATATTCAATTTAAATGTCACCATTAATTATCTGCAAGAATATGAATATTTAATGAGTAATCACAGCAGTGCGGGAGATGATCAGATTAAAATAACAGTACATTACAATAACACGACTCCAGGACCTTTAATACTGTTGGTAAGTTTTACTCTGTGATGTTGGAATAAAGGGTTGCTTTTAAAATTTAACTTTAATCATGTTTAGTATTTCTGCACTGATGCAGTATTTGAAACTAATATTGGTGAAATCTTGATGCAGAAAGCTGGACTGTATCGATGACAACCGGCCTGTCTGTTCAGTTGAATTCAGGTATTTCTAACAGTTAATGGTCAGCAGTTTAAAGTTATATCACAGCTTTTCTTTGCACTTTTGCAATCGTCTTTGACTTTACCGCAACTGTTGTCAAGCAACCACACTGAGCATTGTGAACCACCTGCTTGGGATACGAGTCTGCAAGACAGTGTAAATGTACAACTACTTCACTGCGCACAACACAAGCCTGTGTAACTTTATTTAGAATGTTCAAGCACAGCGACAGCTCCTACAACCCACATCGCAGCGCTCACTTACCAAGAATACACCGAGACAAACATCTACAGTAGAAATGAGCATTTTATCACTAAAATTGAGCACTCTACTTATTTCTGTGCTTTTGTAACCTGCTCCTTCTCCACAACACTCAACACCAGTTGGAATTTGTGATGAAACGCATTCAAAGGTCTTGGTTTGGACATTTATGAGCTGCTGTGGTCACAGATTTATGTTTTGGCAGCTCATTAAATTGAAAAAAAGAAAAAAAGAAAAAGAAAGAAAGAAAATGAGAACATCTCTGCCCATGAAAAGCTGATCTCATTCCAGCCAGTCGCCAAACAGCGCAGGCCTCAGTCGGTTTCTCTGCACAAAGCTGATAAAAATCACAATTTTACTTGGGGCATTCAATAAATCTGACAGACAGAGAGAGAGGGGGAGAGAGACGCTCAAATAAGATGCATGATTGGCATTTTAAGGGATCCTGAGTAAACAGCAGCAAGTACTCAATGTGTTGAGATATTTGCAGGTTCTGGCTGCAATTACAAGCTAACATTTTTTATCTTACCGCTCTATTGTTATACTCAAGCTGTTTTGCAGTCCTCTCACACATTTTATTAAGATGCTAACCACACCTGGCTGTCTGGGTCTTTGATGCCAGCTGAAGAAATAGATGTCAAAATGCCAACCTGGAACATAAATCGAAGGCTGGAGATGAAAACAAGGCTAACCTATAAGCAGCGCTGTAAACAGTAGCAGAAAGTCATGTTAACCTCTTGTCCTCCCTTTCAGATTCCTAAAAGACCTTTTCTTACCCCCTAAAGTGCCTGAATTAGAAGTTAAATTTAAGGATTTTTCAAATTTAACTCCCCCATAGTTGTTGCTGGGAGCTTGCCTGTCAGAGATAAGCACTGGTGGTTGGCCCATATAGCCATAATCTTGAACAAACAAAGGTGTGAATGTTATCAAATACTATTTTAGGCTCTACAGTGAATTCCACTTTGCTGCTAACACAGCTCCTGCTGGAAACGCCATGTGATGGGTTGTGAACACTTCCCTGCTGCTCAGACATGATGCTCTGCATCAGCACCGCTTCTTGGTGTTGAAAGGTGATAATGAAAAATGCAAATGTGGCTCCTTAAAGAGTGCTGGATGGAGATTGCCGGGGATATGCTTTCTCCAGGTAAAAGAGAGAGAGAGAGAAAGCTGAAGTTGTCTGCCGTGGAGCTGGCTCCTTAATAAAAGCAGAGGATCCAGAGGAATGTTCCATGTGGTTCTGGGCTGCTAGATCACTAGAACAGGTTTCCTTGTAGGACCTGCATACCAGAGGGAGGTAAGCCCTGATAACAAGGAGCACTTGCCTGCACTGGGTCTCTCTGATTATCATACTTATCAAGATACATGTGCAGGAGAAGAACCGTGTGGGTCTGAGCTCTAATGCACACACAGTGAACACATCTCAGACTAATTTAAATGCATCATGGGTCCCTTTTATAAACAGAGGCATTGCTGAATTTGAAACATCTGAGCATCTCGAGCAGCTTGTTTTGGTTGGAAAATGCTCTGAGACCTGGGAAGGCAGTTAGCAGCAAAACAGCTCTGAACAGAAGGTGAACGGAGCTTTTTTTCCAAAACTTTTTGTCCACATATCTTGAAACAAGCTAAGAGGCCTGGCCTGATGTTGTATATCATCATGGACATAGCTGACACAGAATTTGATAAATGGCGCCCGAGGGGAACGGCACTATTTTTTTATTTTTTATTTTTTTTTAAACATGCTCCATCTTTGCAGATGTCTAACTGACAGCTCTGCTGTAAATCTGCTGATCGAATTGTATCCCTCCTGTTGTTTTTTTCTCCAAGTCTGACTTCTTCTGAACAAGCTGGCACCAGAGCCCCATGAGAATAGAAATATCAATTTTAGATGAGTGACAGTGAGACATCTAATGGTTAGTTCCTGCATAGCCACATCTGCTCTGAGTTAGAGCTAATACAGAGATGGTGAGATTAGATTCAGCCCATGCATGATCGGGCATATTCTGCTCCAAATTATAAACCGAGGGTCCTCCCCTCTACAAAACTGGATGCGTGGCAAAGAGCTGATTCTACTGAACTCCCTGCTGTTTGTTTACATGTAGAACACTTTATGTAAACAGTCGAATCCTTTTCATTATTATTTTTTTATTGAGGCCACATCTCAGCAGGTGCTGTCACAGTCTTCCTGTTAGTGGGGTTGTTTGTGTACACATTTCATGCACAAGCCTTTGCTTCGCGTAAATAGCCTCAGACAGTTCCAGTCCAAAACAAAATAAGCCTGCTGATGCATAACAGCCAATCCATCTGGAATGCGTCTCCTCGCTACATCCACACGAGCTGTCACACAGCGGCACAGCCATTAGATATTCCTATTTATTTTTTATTTCGTTCAAAAGCCGATTATCATGTCAGTCAGATGATTTTCGTACAGGATGTCTGAGTCGTCAGTACACAGCTGGATGCTTTCATATCCTCTCTGCACTCAAGGTTATATTGCAATGCAATCAATGCATGTCCATTAGAAGAGAGTTTGAAATTACATACACTGGAATATGAACTCCTGTTCTGGTGAAAGACAGAACTCAAATTACCAATGTGCTATTATTTATTAGGGCTCTGTTTTTATTCGTTCATTTACATCCTCGTTGTACAGAACACCTGCTGGACTTAGACAAAGACCAGACGGCCTCTGCAAGAGCTCACTTCTATAAAATAAACACAGAATCACTTGCCAAGATTAAAAGATTCAGTTTGTAGACATCAACAGTGTCAGGTTCACACTCTCAAGAACCAGACGGCTTCTACACAAACCAGATTCTGCAGATTCTGAAATTTGATGAATGTGGCCCTTCACTTTGTTGGCCCGAGCTCCACTATGCTAACGCTAAGCGGTGGCGGGATGTGATGATCCTGTTGCGTTTCCACTCACGTTCAGGACGAAAGCTAATCATTATCAGTTATCTTTTATTTTTGTTTAGTCTATAAAATAGCGCTCTATAAGTATTCACAGGCCAAGATAAAGTCTATACACTGCTATTTTTCCCCTGGACACTCAAAGATATTTAATTTTGTGCAAAAAAAAAAAAAAAGTAAAAATGTGCACGATTAGGAAGGATTCCAGCCATACTAATCAAAAATCTCATAGATTTAACTTGGCCATATAAGTCATCCTCTTGGTCAGTGCTGTACTACTTCCTGGGTGGCACACTTTTAACCACTTGAACTTCAGTGATGTGTGCTGGATCTGCTCCGGTGTTTCAATCCAACGCCTCTTTAACGTATTTTAGAGCAGGGCTCGCAAAATCGCTAGCCCGACGTCCCGGAGCTAGCGATATCTCCGGTCGGGCGACCAAAATCTATCTCAGCCCCGCCCGTCGGGTTATCATATAGCCCGACGGGACATCGCGCTAGCGGTTTTGCGAGCCCTGCAGAGGGAAACAAACCGTCAGGGAGGCACAGCTACTGGGAAGAGCAAGTTTTAAGCAAAGACTGTGGTCTAAATTGTTTGTGCCAGTTCTTCCTTCCTCTAGTGTTGCAGGGTGTTAAGAGCAGGACTTCTGCTGAAAATTCATTGATTTTCTGGGAGACCCAGTTCTCATTACAGTGCTCCCTGACCTGAAAGTCAGGTTGGTTTGACACAGAAGATGTTTGTCTCTCTAAAGTCCAAGTGCAACTGGTCTGAACAGGACTTCCACAGAGAAAACAGTAGGAGCACATTAAAGAGGGGACTGATTTCCAAAAAAAGAACTTTCTGATTACACCTTGCATCTGAGTGTTTAAAGGAAAAAGAAAAGAAAAAGAAAAAAAGAAGTTAATTAGACCACTAAAAACCCAGACTTATGAGGAACTGTTGCACCAGCTGCTTTGTTTGTTACATTTTGCCTTTAACCTCTTTTTCCATTGATGATGAAACACCATGACACCTTTGTGTTTTGCAGCTTTTTTTGCAAAAACTAAGCATTCTCAGTGCCTCCCTGAGCTCTGAGTGTCTCCGTTTGGCCGCACTGATGTTACAATATGTAAGATACTCTACTCAAAGACATAACAAGCGAAAAAATGCTGTCTGTACTCTGTGGACATCCTGTGCTGAGGCTGATTTGCAAAATAAAATAAAAAAAAACAACACTCCTTTTTATGTCATGTCACTTCTTACCAGTAAGTAGCCAGTGGCAGGGTCAGCTGTCATCGACTCATTCTGAAACGTGTTGGCCTGAACCAGCTCCTCCTCCTCCCTCCTGTCCTTCTCTCCGCCATCATCATCATCCAGCTCATCCAGGCTCTGTGATAAGGTGATGACAGACGAAATTAGGAAGTGAAGTGGACACAAACTATGTTTACATGCACCATCTGTGTCAAGGTTGATAAATTAAAGAAAAATTCATGCGCACAGATCTAACATTGGTCCCATTTTACCAAATTTGCATCATATAAACAACTTCCTTGTTGGTTGCATAACCGTATATGGCATGAAGGTTGTACGACTTGTAAAAATGATGAGGAATCATTTGTGCATTTGTGTTTTCAACAGGCAGCTTGTCAGCAGCCAAACCTCTTCTCTAAGCCAAGGTATTTTTTTTTTCTGTATACAGAAGATAAATATATTGTTTTATCTAAGCATTTTAACAGTGAGAGACAAAAACAACAGCTTCAAGCGTTCACCACACTCTAAATATTCACCCAAGAGAGATGCATGTGAGAACAAATCTCCTATAAAGCCAAATCAGGCCTTAACTTGTCCAAAAACAAAATGCTGAGTGACACACCGCAGGACAGCCTCCTGATGTTCGCCTTGTCGACTCACATTATTTGCTGTGTGTCAGTTTACTTGTTTTTTCTGAAGCAAAATTGGGGACAAACATAAGCAGAGAGTCAGTTATTGGTGTCAGCATCAACTGTTGGCCACAGGTGTAGGTATCAGACCAGAACTTCACAATTGGTGCATCCCTGGTGCATTCACTAGTAGCAGCCGTCTTTTGTCCTGCCTCTGCTTGTTGCACAACAGAAGCTCCCTCACATTAATCAAGCGAGCACATTTCCAGTAGTTTGAAGTGAACCATTTCCAGCTGTGTGCAGCATGTGCAAACTGAAAAGTTCAGACAATGCACTGACCTAATTATCACAATAATGTCAAGAATTCCTCTGTGAGAAAGGCTTTGGGACAGATTCTGTCTGACTTTTTATTATTTTGTATAAAAATATGCTCAGCTTGTTATTTTTTTATACAATCTGCTTCTATGAATTCTTTATTCTCATCTGAAACTTTTTGTTTACTCTTCAAGATAAGTGTACAATCAAACCAACCCCACCCTCCAGTGCTTAACAGGTTGCTAGAGTCAGTCCCCCAGACAAATCCAACAGTAACTTCCTCATTTTATTGCATTTGAGTGCACTGACAGATGCGTGGTGACAAGCAAGGTCATTCCCACAGTAACAGCAATATTGACCTCTGGCTCAACACAACCAGGGTCTCCTCTTAATCCTCTTCAGACATGGTCACATTCACTTCCAAGAATCCCCCAGGAGCTACAGCTCAAACACTACCCTAATGCCAGATGGACTCTAGTATGGCAACAGGAAAACAGTCAGCACTCGGCCTTTCACCTCCTGAGGACAAGTCAGGGGGGATTTTTGACCAGTGGAATGTCCCTTGAAAACACAATAAAAGACACAATATAAACATACGGAGTGCAAACATCCCTTTGACAGAGGCTAGCAGCTTTCATAATCGAAGCAGAGAGCTTTCGAATAGTCTTGGAAAACCAACTTTACTTCTGATAATCTTAATTTTTTTATTTTTATCTTAAAATATCTGTACAGCCCAAACTTCACACTGAGATGGAGTACGACAGAGTTACTGGGTTCATCTGTCAGGAGCGGCGGAAATGCATTGCACAAACACGTCTCAACACTGACAGCCGGATCGTGACACGAGACAGAACGGGGGCCAAACTCCCAGAGGGGACAATGCAAACCAGGCTTTCCCGTTTTACACCGCAGGGTGAACAAAAGATGGCTGCCCAGCAGACCCTTCATCGGTAAAAATAGCCTTACAAGGTTAAAGAGGAATGCAGTCATTTGCAAGGCTTTTCCTGCCAAACGGTTTATCAGTTGTCCTTGGGGAAAGTGCCAGTTCCTTTTGAGTCTCACTCAGAGCTTAATGCTAGCACTCTCCTCCACCTCACCGGTGCTCTCATCTCCCACACAGACACCTATGGAGGTATCCCATGATGGGGCATAATTAGGAGATTAAGAGCAATGACATATGGAAAATGCCATAAAACAGAGTTCTGTCTGTGTCAACGCAGAGTGGATTGCGCAATGACTAACCACTCTGCTATGCACAAACTTTCCTAAAATGTGGAGTTGGGAATCTCAAAGTTTGTTTTGGAAAGAGATGGAGCCCACTTTGCTCTCTAGTATTCCAAATTGCTGTGCTTCTTTTTATTTCAGCTAAAGGAAAAGGGTATCTGTGTGTCCATATAAGGGGTGTTTCTGCTCCTGACATCACCACAGTGTGTTTATTTTTCTGGCCAGTTTCTTACCTTGGGCCAGCTGGGCAAAGCACTGAAAGTGCTGAAGGATGAGCGTCCAGGGCATTGACTGAATGCCTTGAGCAATGTGTTTGCATTTCAGCATTACACATTATTTCTTCAGCCCAAATAGTGTCACAGAAGTAATGCAATGTTCTGTAGCACCACTGTAGGGGCCTCGAGAGTCCCCCTCTGAAACGCATCACTCTCCACAAGTTTGTACATACAAGGACACACTTATAGCAGCCACTGTTGGCCTATTCTTTGCATATTTTAAAAACACTTTATATTTCTCTGTATACAAATGATATAATCTGGCGTGCATTTACCATTTTGCAGACAATTTTGTGCACACTTCACTGAGGCTAAAGTTCATTTAAAACATAATCTAAATAAGTTAAGAAATTAAGAAGTGAAGAGCAAAGACACATGTGTCCTCCCCCAAACAGTTTTGGAGAGTTGAGTGAATGCTGCCCAGCTGGGACCGATTATCTGCGGGAGAAGCACTTTTTACACAATACTAAACCCTAATTAAGATTAATTAAAAATACAATGAATGTTCTAAGATCATTAAATGTTGAGCCAAAATTTAAATGTACCAAAAGTCAAAGCACATACAGTAAACAGAGGTATCAGTTTGTGTACTGATGATATTAAAAAGATCATTACAAACTTGAGTGTTAGAGGACTCTCTCTCCAGAATCCTCTCTGCTTCCTGTTTACAACAGGACCAAGTGTCAGGGCGTGTTTACTTAAGAAAAGCACATATCCTGCTCCGCTTCAGCCTCCAGGCCTCTGTCAGTCACTCTCCACATGAAGAATAAAAGAAGCTACATCTGGAGCAGAGTTTCACGGTCTACTGGAATGTGTGTTGTGGTTGGAAAGTTTCTCTGCGGGGAGGAAAATGATCACTCATCTATTCTGAAGCTCCATCTCTGGCAGCAACAATGCAAAGGCTACAGTCTTTGTCTTCAGCACAGCAGGCTGTGTGCTTTACTTCCCTGCTCTTTAGCTTTTAAATCTTGGTCAAAGGGATGCTGTGTGATGGGAGAGGTGATGGGTTCCCAAACTAAAGTGGCTACTTTCAAATCATTCACATGAAAGACAACAATAAAAAAAACATTTTAACTATAGTATGCTAAAGTCTATAATCATCATTATTATTATACACTGAATTTTCACATGCCAAATAGGGTGAACACATCATGATCTTGAGAGTAAGAGAGAGCTTAATCTAACAGAAGTAGCAGAAGCCTGCTTAATCTACTTAAGACATATTAAGATAAATGTCTTATTTTAAAATGCACAAAAAATAAAGCCTCAAACTGAGATCATTTTAGTTGGTTGAACACATGATTCAAGTTTCAAACCAAGTGTCCACAAAAAGCTGCTCAGCAACAGCTCACCAGAGGTAGCTACAGCTGCAGTGACTTCCATGGCAACCATTGCTGCAGCAATGCTAACATATACAGTGCTTTAATCTGTACAAACTCACAATCTGTATTCAAGGGAGAAATGTGTAGTGTGTCACTCGTCCCGTCTTCCTCCCCTTAACCCCCCATGGCTGATCTTCCCTGAGCCTGGTTCTGCTGGAGGTTTCTTCCTGTTAAAAGGGAGTTCTCCCTTCCCACTGTCGCAAACTTCATAATTAAAGGGGGTTGTTTGATTGTTGGGGGTTCTCTGTAGCATTGTAGGGTCTTTATTTTACAATAAAAAACACCTTGAGACAAAATGTCTGTGAAGGTTCTCAGTCATCCAGGTCATCGTAGTCAAAGGAGCTTGCAAAGAAAAGCGTCTGGACTTCTTTAAATTACTTGAAGA